CATGCAAATTAGGGGCTATCTGATCGACGGAGCCACAGTTGTAATTACAAATTGCTGCACCTCTGCTTGTGTGGTCTCCTACCCCCCCCAAAAAGCATTCTGCAACTCGATCGTCTCTGTCTATCTCACCTGCGAATGGACGGGGAGTTTAGGCTTACGGGCTGGGGATCCCAGGTTCACACAGCATGACGTGCATCGGGGCATTTGGCTAATCTGCATCTCAGGTCTGTTTATTGGTCGCTGTGTGTCTCGTCCTCCAATCGGGCCAGTGGTGGTGGCCTGACATGCCTGTCTGATGTCGATACAACGTATAACCCGAGTGCGTACTTTGAGTATAGGACGTGTTTTCCTATAAAAAAACATGAGTGCACCATCATCGACCTTCAGCAAAAGTGGCCCCCATCTAACTATTTTGATCCCGTTATCCGGTACATCACTCCAAAGCAGTAGCGATCATGACAGTCGTGCAAGCCTCACAAGTAAAATTGTCCCCCGAGCACCTAGGGTTTGCTCGTATCAACGCCGCCAGTCCTGCCGGCGTGATCGAGACCGCCAACGAGCTCCTGCAACAGAACCACGATAAATACACACATATTTCCGCGATGTCGGAGGCCACAACCACATCGCACACTCGGTGCTGACGGTCCTCGCCATGGGCGGCGGCTCCAAGCAGCTCCAGCGGGCTTAGGACGACGGGGACGGCTACCAACGTTCCCTGCCCCCCTGGACCCGGCCGTCGTCCAGTCCCTCCGCGACCCGGAGCAGTTCCGCGCCCGAATGTTCGATTTGGCCCAATATACCAACGTCCTGCACTTCTTCCAGACCAATATCGACGCCAAGGCCTGGCAGGCCGTCCTGCAGGAATACTGCTTCAGCCGCACGTCCCTCGCCGAAGCCATGTTCTCCCAGCTGTACGAGGGCCTCCTGCACCCGATCATCCACCTCGGCTTCGGCATCGAGTTCAAGCAGCCCAGCATCATCGCCGAGGACCTCGCTCACGCAGCCTCCCACGACCCCGGCGACATCGACACCTTCTTCCACCACGCCGAGCAGCTCGCGCAGTCCGGCTCTGTGCCTGCAAAACCGCTCGTCGAGCTCTACGAGCAGGTCCGGGCCAACGACAAGACCCGCACCGCGGGCCGCATGCAGGACGGGCCGTTCCGACTGCGCGACGGCCCGCTGGCCCGCGCCAAGGACAAGATCATGGCCATTGCCGCACAATTCCAGATCGTGCCGAGGGAACAGGCAGAACTCGAGCGCCGCACGGCGGAGATGATCAACTGCGCTGCGTACAGCGCGGGCGCGGCGCAAAAACCCGGCAAGGTGCGCAAGGTGAACTTCTTCATCATGCACGACGTGACATGTTCAATTTTCCTCAGCGTGTTGATCCGCCAGGCGTGGATTTCCCTTGAGGACCGGGCCCGACTGGTGGAGTGGAAGGCGTGGCTGGACCTTGCCTGGTACGCGGCGAATGGGGCGGCGGAGCTGCGTCTGGAGGATATCGCGGGGTACGAGCCGACGGCGAGTAAGGCGATGGACTGGCGGGAGCTGTACGGGGCCGTTAACGAGGTGCATGACGATGGACACATTGCCAAGTTTGTGCGGGCGTTGAAAAATGGGGAGGAGGCGTCGAGGCCGTTTGAGGGCGAAGGGGGGGGGATTTGTTTCCGGTCAAGGGTGAGCTGTGGTTGAGGATTGCGCATATGGGGTACGAGACTGCAAAAGATGGTGTGGATAATAGTGATAAATGAGTTTGAGAAGCTGTGAATGACATTTGGTGGTGTTGCCCAGTCGATTAAGATATGTTTAGATTCACAACTCAAGTTCAACTCGGGCCTTGATGCCGCAGCTATTCGACCCACAGATGGCCAATGTTGCCGACTTTGACTGCTTCAGCCAGGTGGTGTTCAAGCATTGAAGACTACAAACGGATGAAACAGGACCCATGGTACAAGGAGCATCTTGTTGATGATCACGAGAAATTCGCTGATACCAAGAGGAGTATGTAAGTATTTGATGTGCCTCCCGCTCGACATGACCATCTTGTTGATCCAACGTAGGATGACCATAGGGTGGCTTGAGGAGTAGCCCGCATCTCCAGTTGGGAATTACCAATCTCCCTTTGGCAACTTCCTCGTGGCCCCTGGACAATTAGCCAATGGTCTACTTATGTTTTAATCTGTTGCACTAACCTTAAGACCAGTCTCCATCCAACGACTGCTCAATTTTCTTTCCTTTTCCGATATCCTTATAGACGTCTTCAATTGTCCAGGGTACAAACTTATGTCCTGGGGGGAAGTTGGTATTCTCAAACTTAGCACCAGTGACAAGATGTGCAAAGGCGCAAAAGCCTCCCCATATTTCTCATACACATAGTGTTTGAATACCCACTTGGGAAAACGCAGGCGCACCGTCTTCGCATCCTTCATAATGGCATCCCAATCACTAGTGGCGTTCAGGAGCCGTGAGTTTACGAAGGCCATCTTTTGCGTGCAGCTGACACGTTGGTATCATAAAAGATGGTAAACTTTCGCTCCAAGAGGTGCACCACTGGACCCTCCATGAGATGCTAACTGCAAGCTTGATGCCAGAGTTATTGCGTCCTCGAGAGCTAGAGTCCCACCGCGGACTGATGCTGGAATTGTGGAATGTGCGCAGTCTCTCACCTGCACGACTCTCCCCCCTCTAGACGTCCACTTCGGACGCAGATTGCGCCATAGCAGTGGCCAGTGGACCAAGCTTCCCCTAGGGGTAGCACGTATCAGTGTCTCAACTGCCGGATGCCAGCCAGGCAAGCGACGGTGTAACTGAATTACCCTCTTCAGGGTCGACGTCCGGATCCCACGACTCCTTGGCCTTGGCACTCCCATCCACCAAGAACTCGTCTCGTGGAGTGATCCCGAAGGCCACTAGATCTGGTGATACGTACAGTCCGATGTGCATGCCAGCTCCCAGCCAGAACTCGTTTGCCGTGACGCCTTCCCACCGCTTCCGGACTTCTTCATTTTGCATGGCAAGGTGGGCTGGAAACAATACAAGGTAGACGGACATACCGCTTGACCGGGTGGGCATGTGTTCCAGCGATTAGAAGTTCGGATCGAGACTTGAAGGCATCAGCTGCAACAGCTATATCGGCTACTCGAACTGAGCCATCTTCTATCACAACTCCGCCCACCCCAGCCTTTTCATCATCGAAGTATTGATCAACACGTTGCCCGTAGTCAACTTTGATGCCTATTTTAGCCACCTGACGCAACAGCATTCTGTAGAACTTCTTTCGGATCTGTGCAGGTCCCACATACGGGAAGTTCTCTCGCTCCGCCAAGTGCTCGGGATCATTGTAGCTGGGTTCTGAAGGTCCGTAAATGAGCTCACTGGTGTGCCTATAATAATAGGTCGGGGCTGTAATTTTGTCTTCTTCGAGCTCAAGAAGCATGCGATCGCTGAGGGCTGGATAATAATAAGATCTTCGATGAATTAGGTATCATTAGAAACTACTGTTCTCTCTGCCTTTCATTTTCCTCGGGGGGAGCATGGAAATCGGGACATGACGAACCGCTGTAATTAGGGCCATCGTTCCGCTCCAGACTTCCCACGACATTATGCCTTTTTCTCCAGCACTCCAACGCTGTCATCAGGCCAGCGAAACCGGCTCCAACAACCAGCAGTTTGACATGCGTCTCTGGGTCACGTTTTGGCAGCTCATTCGGAGTGCTGGACGTCCACTTCTCTGGGTCAAATTCATCTTTGTCACCCACCGTGTAGGATTTTGCGCTGCTGGCGCAGTTGCTTCCCCCATCCTGTGGCCTACCCAGAAAGTCAAGCTGAAGCCTAGAAGTAGCATTGTGATTCAAATCAGGTATCTACAAAGCTAGCATGCACCCATTGTTATATTTAAATAGTAGAAAACGCTCTTTAGCAATCGCCTGTTCGACTTTCTAATATCGGGTATCGGGCTTCGGAAGACAATTGAATCGGACATTTTTATGATGCCTCGGGTTATTTTTATACCTTATTTGAGAAAGGCATATAATTTTATGAAAGGAGAACAACATAAAATTCGGTGTTTTAATTTTCTACATAGCATTTACGTTCCTATTTGCCCGATGATATACTCCGATATCCCGTTCCGATTCTACAGTCTGCCAAGGACTCATATCGGACTATTCAATTCAATGAGCTTAGCTTCCATCGTCAAGGCATGTCAAGAGATTATGTGATACTTAGCCCATTAATAAATACGGGTAGTACTGACACTTTATATTTAAACATAAACCCCACTTTCTTTTTTGTATCTTGTTTAAACTCATCATTTGGACTTCGCTGATTCCGGTGGAGTATCGTTTAGTCCACCACCACCAATCCGATGGCATCAGAAACTCTTTCTCTTGCTGGCAAGGTTGCCATTATTACGGGTTCCGGTCGTCAAAATGGTATAGGAGGCAGGATTGCTAAGACGCTTGCCCTCAATGGTGCTGCTGTTACTTTAAACTATGTTTCTGAGAACTCAATTTCTCGTGCAGAAGAAGTGGCTCAATCGATCCGTGACCTGGGCGCTCGGGTCGCTATCATAAGAGGTAGCATTGAAACTCGGGAAGGAGCCTCCAAGATTGTGTCTGATACAATAGAGGCTTTCGGTGTCGACCATTTCGATATCCGAGGTACTTAGCTATTTGCATGGGCACTCAAAAAAAAAAAAACAGAGAGGTTATGATTTCTTTTGCTAATATGTGTGTATATATAGTGAACAATGCCGGGGTTGGGAGCGTCCATTTTCTGACTGAAATGACTCCAGAGCACCTCCAGAACCATTTCGGCATCAATGTGTTTGGGACTCTCTGTATGAAGCAGGCAGTTGTTACTTTGGGAAAGATGCCTCGTGGTGGTCGGATCATCATGTTGGATCGTGTGCGTCAAAGATGGGCGTAGGAGATGGTATGGGCGTGTAGGGCGAGACAAAAGCAGCATCAGATCACCTTGCTGCATCATGGGCCTGGGAGGTAAGTTCATTGCAGCAGAAGAATTCCCCCTTTTATTGGTAATATAGGTCATACTGACCGGATTTATTATATATAGCTCGGACGCAGCCGCGGGATCACCATCAACAGTATTGGACCTGGTCCTGTTGATACAGATATAATTGGCGACGGTGTTGCACATGACGGACCCGTCAATTCATAAAGATCTATTCATCACTCCATTTGTCAATCTCACCAGGGCTGAAGAGCGTGTGGGCACGACTGATGACGTTGCTGATGCCGTCCTTCTACTCGTCAATGAGAAGAGCCGTTGGATCACCGGTCAATTCATCTCAGTTAGGGGAGGTATCAACGTCATGTAGAAGGGTAAGACGATCACACAGCCGCGCTGATGGCTGCATGGGCGTCAATTTTCTTGAAGTTGTTGAAGGGGCTGAAACAGAAAGCGATTCCCACCGCAGCGATCGACATGGCGTAAGCGGCCTTGAGACCGGTCATGTAAGCAGGCAAAATAGCAGTCATCTGCCCAGCTGTAAAGACGTCTCGCAGCTCGCTCGCAACAGTCGAGACCACTAAGGCTGAGTTGATGCTCGGTGCGGTTGCGGCAAGTTCGATGATAATCTGGTTGACGAAGGCAGCTTGTGCTGCAGCCACGAAAACTGCACCCCCGACAGTTTGGAAGACTGAGAGATGAGGTGTGTTAGCAGGCTTTTATCGGATAATCAAGAAGTAGTAGGCAAACTACTCACAGACGATAATACCAGTCACGGATGCAATATCACTGGGAACCACTGCACCATGCACCGCATTGATGGGAACCTGGTAGGCCAATCCCCATCCAACTCCGCCGACGATTTGGTATCCAATCCACTTGCCTGTGCTTGTACCGACGTCTAGCGAGTACAACAGCCCCGAACCGATGGTCGCAAGGACCCCACCGACAACCATGAGAGGAGCAGTATGACCAGTTTTGGTGATGCTGCCACCGGAGACAATGATAGCTAACGACATCGAGACAATCAAAGGAAGGTTTCGTACACCAGACATAGTTGGACTGACGTTTTGAACGCTCTGGAAGTAGTAAGGAAGGTAATAGACAATGATAAAGTACGAACCTGCGAAAAGAAACGCGTAGATTGAATTCACAAGGATGAGGCGGTTCGACATCAAGCGCGGCGGAAAGGCAGCTCGTTCTCCTTGAAACCATTCCCACGCCACAAAGGCAATAATAATGAGAGGGAAGCCGACAAGAAGACCGATCACAGTACTGGAGTTCCATGCCTTCGTCTGTCCACCAAACTGCAGTGGCAAGATATATGAAATGATGGTACAGATTAGAAGGATCGTCCCGATAGGATCTATCTGCAGGAGCTTCTCCTTGAATGTAGCCTTGGTTGTCGAAGCGCTGTCAGGTGTATGGAAGAAGAAAACAATGGAAACGGCTGCGACGCCTCCAACGGGCAAATTGATGTAAAAGCCTAGATGAAGAAAGCAAAAGTCAGCGAAGTCCAGCGTCCAGTGAAGAACAACTACTTTAGTTGATCAAGTGAGTAGCAGAAGTACTCACACCACCTCCAAGTTACTTTATCAGCGAATGCACCGCCAACAAGGGGGCCAACGACCGACGCTATACCGTAAGACATGCCAATGATACCGGTGAAGAGTGGCCGCTTTTTTGGACTGGCAATGAAAGCGATGATAATGAAGACTCCACTCCCAATACCAGCTGCACCGATTCCAGCAATTGCACGACCGACAATCAGTGCCACGGAATTTGGAGCCACACCACAAATCAAGCTTCCAATCTCGAAAATGAAAACCGCAAGCAGAAACGAGATTTTCAGCGGGAAGAATTTGTATACCTTTCCCCAGGTTGACTGGAAGCCTCCAGTAGTCATCAAGAAGGCCGAACCATACCAACTGGCATCATCGAGGCTGTGGAACTGATCGGTGATTTTTGGAATAGCCGTCGCTACGATCGTCTATGTATTTAATATTTGACATTAACATTAGATGATGATGGGACTTTGAAGAGAGGCTCCTCTCCTCACTGAGGGATTGTGAGACATACCATGTCGAGGGCAACCAAAAAGATGCTCATACCAAGAGCCGCGACAATGACGAATAGCTTGGGACCATGAGGATACTGTGTTTCGTCGTCCAGGTCCGGTCCTTCGGCATCTACCTTTTCCGGTAAAGAAGTCTCTTGGTCACTTGGAGCGTTGGTTATTGATGACTGCACGCTCGATTCTGCGTTCTGCCGGTCCTTTTCTAGGTCGAATGTTGAAATCATTTCCGCTAATAGTAATGGAATGTTACCGGTCGATAATTGCAGAGGAATAATGTCCTCAACACGACAGGACAAATTGAAATAAATAATAATAGTTTTACATGGAGACGAGGCTTCTTAGAACTTGCTTAATAATTTTAAAAAGCATGTATTATAAATGTCGGCCGAATTTGAGTCTGTCCCCGGCGGAGCTTCTTCCAGACGTTTGTCTGGACGGAGGAACGAGTAAGTAAACAGTCACTCGCCTGCCGCAGCACGTTTCGACCGGCGTACAGTGGGACTGGGGATACGGAGGCCCCTAGCGGCAAGTACTCCTCCGTGCTCGAGACATATCTTATGGGATACAGGATATACGTCCGTATAGTGTCTAAAGTGTCTAATTCCTGACTCGGTATTGAGTTGTTACTAACTACCTAGGCAACTACTACTAGTAGTTACCTTTTATGAACATTGACAGCTCCTCCGGTATTACTACTTCCTGAATAATGGAGTATCAGAAACCCCCCGGAACAAAATCATTCACCTGCGCCGACTTGAACAAAGGTCCCACAACCTTCCCAAACTCCGCATGTGCTGCATCTTCTCTCAGATGACAATCTCTATCCTCCTCGTTGTCGAATTGCGTAACATAAACATAAGTAAACCCCCCTATAACTTCCCAAATGAACCTGATATCACCAAGTCTTATGGACACGTTACTTACTGTTATGTTTTCAACACTGATATCTTTGCCTGCCATTTGGTTGGTGATATATGGTGTTTTGGACTCTGCGCGTACACATTGATCCTTGAGGGCTCGGAAGGGACGGTTTACCTAAATTTCAAAGGTTTACCATCTGCTTTCAAAAAAATACTTAACTTGCTATTAACAAAACTTACGCCTTCCACCTGTTCCGCCGTCACCTCTTCTTTAAACGAGGTCATCACAATATGGACAAGGCCCATTTTGAAGCTAGCGAACAGATTTTGTTGGGAAAGAGTAGTATAGCTAGATCACTACATTAGCTACGTGCTAAACGGCTATTTGTAGTTTAACTGTTGGAGATATACCCCGAGATCATCCTCCTTGGCCCCGAATTGTCCGAACCGCCTATGCTATTTCTAAGTTGCCAGTCATTCTTTGCACTATGTCCAAATGAGAATCCTTATCTGTTTCATATTTCACGC